CTTCTTTCAGCGACGTCACGAGAAGAAGAGTGTCTACAACCTCAATGAGGCTGAAGAGCTGACGCACTACGGCCAGTCCCTGGCAGATATGGAGAAGCTGAACGACATTGTGGAAAGTGACAGTGACGCCGAGGAACGGGGAACGCTGTCAGGTGAGGCTGTGGGGGGGCTGCCACCGCCGTGCCCGGCTCCTCCCGCCGGAAGCCTTCCCCAGTCAGTGTTCCCTCCTGTCCGTGGGGACACGGGGTAAACGCCACCATCGCCAGCTCCTGAGAAGTGCTGCAGGTGTTGTTGGAGCACTGGGAGCCCTCTGCTCACTCACGGGTTTTTCCTTTGAATTGAGAGCGTCAGGGAGATAGAGATGTGTTTATGGGAAATGGGAAGGTGACTTTCAGGGGCGGAGGGCCGTTTTCACGTCCCTTATCTCGTTTGGAGGATCCCTGGGTGGTATGACACCCACTGCTAGCCAGACGGTGGCCGTTCACTCCCCGTGAGGCACCTCAGAGGAGACATGGCTGGCTGGGCCGGAAAGCAGCCCTGCAGACCCGCTGGGACACACTGGACACCCACAGTGACCAGCAGCAGCCAGCATGGCCGTCGTGGCTTGAGGCTCCCACTCTCGTTTCTCTTCTTCCTGTTGGTGATTCAGACTCTTGCCAAATAACCCGGGATGTTTTCACTCCGAGCCCTTGACAGAAGCCCAGTGGAGTCTGGGGTGCTGTGATCATCATGGCCCTGATCAGCCCCGTCCCCCTTGACTTTGGCTCAGTTGGTGGCTTGCATGAGAATCGTGCCGCGGGGTATTTCTGTGTCTCCGGGCACTGTGGGGGGTGGGGAGCCAGCATGAGTGTGGGTCCACTCGGTCTCGGGCTGTCCATGGGCAGGTGTGTGCGGGCACTGCCTGAGGCCCTCCCCAACACTGTCTTCTGCTCTGTCTGCAGCCGAGCTGACAGCGACGCATTTTGGAGGGGGCAGTGGGCTCCTCAACCAGCAAGGCGAGTTGGGGGACAAAGCCAAGTCACACAAGGAGCTGATCGAGGAGCTCATTGCAAAGTCGAAGCAAGAGAAGGTGGGTCACGTGGGGCTCCCGGCGTGGCACCCCGTCACCAGAGACCCTGAGCTGGTTGTGGCTTGTCGCTGTGCACGCTGGGCTGGTGCACATAAGGGTGTTTAGGAAGCTGACCATTTGGCCACTTCTCATCCTGGGGGAGGAGTTGGGGGTTTTTGATGGGTATCGAGACTTGCAGAAGGCTCAATGCTTTCACCAGCGGAACTGCTCTCATCACCCAGATTCTAGGCAGAAGTTCTGAACAGTGAGTTGTTCTCACTTTATTGTGTCTCTGAATGCACGTGGAGGCCCTGTGATGTGTGTGGTGTTGGTGCAGAGGGCTGTGTGTCCTGATGTCTGTCCCCAGGCTGCCGCGCTGGGGGCATCCTGGTGGGGGGCGGGGCGTCTTCATGGAGAGGGGGCAGCCTGATGGAGGGGGGCCGCGTGGCAGAGGGCGGGCGTCGTCACGAAGGTGGCACTGTGTTGGCTCCTTTCTCCAGAGAGAGCGGCAGGCGCAGCGGGAGGACGCCCTCGAGCTCACCGAGAAGCTGGACCAGGACTGGAGAGAAATCCAGACGCTCTTAGCACGGAAAGGCCCCAAGTCGGAGACCAGAGAGAGGGATAAGCCCAAGGTGAGCCTCGTGTCTCACTGCTGGTGCCCGCGCGGCCGGCCTTCTCTTCTGCTTTATTGTCTGGTGTTCCTGCTTCCCCTTTCTGCTGGGATCTGAGGCTTTGTTGAACTTTTAGACTGAGCTCTGTGATGTGGAATATGTTAGGGTGGGAACAGACCAGGTGCTGCACCAGCATCTCCTGCATGTGAACGACGCGGAGAGAACCAGGCCTGCTGCTGTCCGCGGACTCGGCTGGACCAGGCGGAGCCATCACGGGCTTCCCGAGGCTGGACATGTCTGTGCAGGAGCGCGGAGCCGCCGTGTTCTCCCGCAGCGAGGCTGGTGGGCGCACTGCTCAGAGCTCCCCGTCCACAGCACACCCTAAACGACGTGGTGGTCCGTTGGTGTGCAGGGTCGGGGTCCGCTCGTGCAGCGAATGTGACACGAGTGTGCCCTCAAAACGGTCTGTGCTTTCTGCTGCTCGTTGAGTCTGGAGGTTGGAGAGCTGACCCCTCCACGTGGCTCTTCTAGGAAGTGTCCAGGTCTCCATGCCACCTTGTCACACAGCCCTTACGTGTCTGCTCCTGGGACATCTCCAGGTCCACACGTCACCCT